GTAAGTTTTTTTTACCAAAACATACGAACAAAAACATATTGTATTTCATCTCTTTCTCTTTAGACAGTTATATATGTTTTGTATATGCCCGTAGCCTAACTGCATTACTCTGTTTGTCCTTCTTACATCCGAATGATTTTACCGATTTTATTAAGAGTGTATCGCCTCTGATTAAGTAAGACAAGGACGAGTGATTGCGTTGTACTCGCCGGACTGTATGTACCAAATATCTTTCAAATACTTATTTATATATATACTAGCTGTCGCCCGCGACTCCGTCCGCGAGGGATTAAAAATAGACGTTGGCCGATTCTCAGACCTACTCAATATGCTCACAAAATTTCATGAGATTCGGTCAAGCCGTTTCGGAGGAGTATGAGAACGAAAATTGTGACACGAGAATTTTATATACATATAAGATATATTAATCTGATATCATGTAGTTCCAAACTCTGTTTGTCGTTGTATTAGTATTATATATATAGTGATGGGCTCTGCTATATTAACTTTATATATGAGCACTTTTGATGTCGATATCTCAAAACAATTTAATTACATAACATTTAGGTATTAAACTTTTTGACTTTGTTATCGAAAAACTGCATAAAAGGGAAATATGTTTTTATAAGTTTTTTGTTTGCTAAACATTTTATTTCTTTTTATTTAGTATCTAATATATAGTAACAATTTGGTAGTTGTAGTTATTGGAATTATTATTTGTTTTAATTAATAATAAAAAATGTACTTTATTTTTATATGTCTGTATGCCAGCGACTGTTAAGGAAGTGAATGTGGCCATGAGTTTTAAAGGCACCTCTCGTTTCAAAGAGCACGTGTATATTTCATTACAATAATGCATTATAAGATTGTTCTCTACAATTAGTCTAATTAACTACAAGAAGCACAAAAGCCAAAAATATCCGCAGAATGAAATTTCATTTATTAGACGAAAGTGATCTGCAGTTTATTTTAAGGTATCTTTAATTTATTTATTAATTTGAGCAACTATGTCGAGTGCAAATACAACACTACAATTTATTAGTCAAAAAGAAATTGGTATGAGGTAGGTTTCCACTGCCGATAATTGTAGAAAAGATTTTATAAGGCGATAGCCTTATAAAAATTTTTCAGCAGTGGAAAGTCGCAGTAACACAAAGCTTCAGATTGTTTATGAATTACAATACGGGTCATTGTAATGGTTTGAACGACATCAAAATAAAATTTGAAATCATGGAAGATTGCACTTCAGACTAAGACCGATAACTTAATGAAGATCGGAGCATGAGAACAGATCTTATTAATGTTTCTAAATGAAATATTTCATAATATAATAACTACAAAAATAACTAACGACCTAGAAACGTTCGTATGCGTAGTAATTATATGTCTTTGAAATTATGCAAAATTATTTACCACCCAATAACAGTACCGGTAACCAAAACTCAATGCGTAAAACGTGCCTAAACTAAATGAGCATTGTTTGCCAAGAGGTAAAGAGTGACGTGCATGTGTGGAGTAATGTTATTGTTTTTTGACAACTCTATGGCCCCACGCCGCTCCGGAACCGGGGCTGTTGAATGGCCTTTTCGTATGACTATATGACTACAAGACATTTTTATTATTTTACGTCCGCTTTATACGAACAGAACCTTATGTAATCTTACTGATATTATAAATGCTAATGTTTAGATGGATGGATGTTTGTTTGAAGGTAACTCCAGAACGGCGGGATGGATCTCGATGAAATTTAGCATAAATATAGAACATAGTCTGTAAGAACTCATAGGCTACTTTTTAAGTTTTTTTTAATATGCGCGGACGGAGTTGCTGGGTACAGCTAGTAAGACACATAGATAGGGGGCTTACAACACCGTAATTGCATCACTATTTCCATTGGTTTCCTTTAAAACAGTTTAAAAATTTTAAATCATTAGCCTTTACTAATTTCAAAGCGCACCTACTTTGAATTCCTTAGTAAGTTGCCGATTTAAGTCGGTGTCCATTTTCCTTATATGCGAAAGCTTAAATCTAGGCTATTTTTTTCACGCTCACTAATTAAACCAGTAAAAACAAATTACATATAATAAAACAAACATGTAATTAGTTTTTCGAGCATAACAACAGTACTGATTGAAACGTTAAGTTTAACCAAACCGGCCGGAAATGTCAACTTTAAATAATCCATAAACATGTAAGGTCAGCTCATGGTGACACACACAAAGGCGTTGCAAACAGTGAAAGTGGTTAAAGTTGCAGTGTTCACTATGATATAAATCCTACAGAGATTGACAACTACCACGATTAAAGCATTCATTGCGAGGTGGACCGCGCTGCGCACTGGTTGTACTTGACAAGTTAACAAAATTGATCTACTCTTAGCGGACACAGTTGGCAACTCGAAAGTAACTTAACAAATATACATTTATGGCAATTTAATCAATATTACATGTAATTAAAAGGAAGTATTAATGTGGTAACATTTTACTGGTATTTTTGATTATACTAAATACACAGACCTTGGCGCGTTTTAGGTAGCTTGTACTTGATTGAAATTGTTGCTTTCATTAATTGAGCTTTATAAGCGATTGAGCAACTTATATTCCTTTAAATAAAATTAATCAATAAATCGTATTGCTGGACCAGGTTATTTATTCCTAATCGATGACTATGTATGGTGTATTTAATTAGTTTCTTATATCTATTAAAATAACGAAATGTAATTACAAATGCTACTGAAAAAGCTCCAAAGATAAAGCGATAATCTTTTGAATGTTTTGTTAAACTAGAAATGATAAAGGTAGGCAAATCTAGTAACAATATCGTATTTACTACATGATGACCAGGGATACGAAACACCCTAGTTTATTTGTAAAAAGAGTCGCAATTTATGTTCGTAGAAAGTTGCAAGATAATCTTTCCCGTACAGCAAAAGAAGGCGACTGTAAATAGCCGATAAGAGTATAATCTACACGATATATTTTAGCTTTAATGAACAGATTTTAGTGCTTGAACATATTTTTTCTATTATAAAAATGAATATCATCAATTTGAAAGAAGCAAAGTCGATAACCACTCGTTTGTAACACATGTATCTTTTTTGTCAAAGCGTTCGAAATAATAAAGCAAATATTCATTATCGCCTACACGCTAGCAAATAAATTAGTTAGGCACCAAAGGACACAATTTTTTTTATTATGATGAGAACACAAACAGACGGCATTCTTTACGTTGAATAATTTAGGGTGACATTGGATAAAAGTCTCTAATTCGGTAAAAATGAACAGCCTATAGAATATATTATATATTTAAAAGATCAAAGGGTCGTAATTTGATATTATTGTTTATAAAACTAACCTGTTTATAAGTGACTTTTTAGGGATCGCAGTAAACACTAATCTTTGACAGATTGTCTTACACAGTGTTGAAAAGGATTGTCGAACATAATACTCACTCAGGAGAAGATGATACGATTTTAATTTCCATTTCCATTCAATAACATTTTATTGCCATTACTCAATTGAATTTAAGTCGTTTCCAAATATCAAGCCTGGTAAACTTACAAACAACATCATATAAAAGTAGTGTGAGGTTTGAAGGCCTCAAGAAAATACATAAACAACATCTGGTTATTACTGACCTTCGCAAACTTGGAGAGATACAAACTACAGACAAATACATGTTACTAAATATGCAATGCGAGGACTGACCTGTTCCGCACGGATGTCCTGCTGGACAGGGTAAAGTTCCTCTGGGGAAGGCGCGGAGCGGGCGCTGGCGCGGGAGCGGGCGCAGGTGCTGAGGCGGGCGGAGAGGTACGGGGCAGGCGGCCGCCCGCCGCCGCGCTCGCTGCCAGTAGCACCACCAACCACCACTTGGGCATCGCGAGAGCACGGGCCGCACGAGACGCGTAAGACACGCTCGAAAACGTACTGTCAAGCGACTGGCCGACGCGCGTGGTATGCGCTCTCGGTGACGTTCACTTTTGTTGTGGCGGTGGCTGGGCCGCCCCACTACGATGAAAGTGAGGGCTTTCACTGGGCCGCCTACCGACCGTTGGACTTCGGGATGTTGAACAGATCCCTAACAATGTTCTCATAATCATATCCCCGATGCATGGCCCACCTGTTGCATAGTATACGCGGACTGTTCAGCAATCATCAATAAATTGACTTAACTGTGTCGGGAAATTTATTCAATGTATTGGACAGAAATTTGATTTTGTTTAACACATAATTCCACTATGTGATAATTGTTGACTTCGACTCCATTACTTGTTTTGATTTCGAAACATAAAGGTTAAACCTTAATGTCACAGCGTTGTGGTCTGTGCTTAAAGTAGTACCGAAGTGTTATAATGTGACAAAAATAATTTCGGGGATATTTTAGACGAGCAGAATATTTATTGGACTTATTAAAATTTATTTTAAACAAGAGGGTTACCAACGTCACTTAATTTTATTCTTGTTGCAGTTATTATCCATGAAATAAATTATATACATTTTCCAAAAATTAATGCAATAACGCTGGTCCCTAAAAGTTAAAATAAAACAAATTAAAACATAAGTTCAACATTCGGGTAGCCTTCATTTATAGTACAGAATTATATGTTTTTGCGTAAATATATACATATGACTATCAAAAATAACAAAATCAAACAGCAGTATGAGAGGCAAGATATGAGTTCGGAAACCAGTTTTAAAGTCGTTGTCCGTTGGTTTAGCAATAGTGCTGTACACATTAAGAGCAGCGGTAGGTTACCATATGATTATAGACTTTCTTTGTTTTTTGTTTCGCTAAGTTTTTTTTTATTCATTAATTATCTTTTAATTTATATTACCCTACAATTTTTTGGAGATTTCATTTCTTTGTATAGACGTTGAAGTAAAAAGTTTTCCTCTATCTTAACTTTTTTCATAATATTCTGTAAACTTTTAACTACCCATTTTTTGACTAAATTCTATGTGGAAATGGATACAGGGCTGAGACAAAAAACACATTCATATTTTTCATGCTTTATTGTAATAATTAAATGAAAACAAAACAAAAATCCACACATCAGTGTCTGGCGTTTGCCAATAAAGACAAAAAAAAAAGAAAAGTAAAGTAAACAGTCTTTGGTTAAACATCCGGACAGGGCGTCTTCTTGAGATATTTCTTGCCAGAAGGCAATGAGACGACAGTGACTCCTTGTGGAAACAGCGTGTCAATATTTTCTTCAGGCACAGTTGGTAACACCATACAGTCATCGCCCATCTGTAAAGATACAGCGATTTACGTATTACTACTTTAATCTATCTGTTCTGTTCATTGTACATTTATACAAATTTCAAAAGCAAACTAACATATTTTTTTAATAAATATTCTAATGTATACTTCTAAACATTTTTAGGCCTAACTTCTAAGTATATGTACTATACGCACGGTAAATATAGATTTTCGATTTGGCTATGTGCTCACTGAGTACTATGTACAAAAAAATCTAATCATTAATCTGGGTAACAATTACTATACATCTATCAAAATTGTGTATCCTACTTACTACACTAGAAATGTCATAGCAAAAAAAATCATTATTAGTGGTATGTATCATTAAAGTGGCAAAGCTTTGGCAATCGAACCATATTGAGTTTTACTACAAATTAGAATGATACTACTCGTTATAACCTTGGTAAGAATTAACGAGTACCACGAAAACAATACGAGTAACCCACGCGAAGGCCGACCCGCTGTTTTATAACCGTGCATAGAGACGTTACGTGTACTCTCGCAAGTCTGTCAACACTCATACCTCTTGCACGCTTATTGTCTCTACAGAATGTCACCGACCGATTGTGCAATATATCAGTTTGTTATTGGACTGCACATAATATATATTAACGGTCGCCTACGACTTTATCAGATCAAAATTAAAAAGTAGCCCAAAATCTGCCCGCGTTCATCAGCTACCTTCTCGCCAAGGCCCGTCAAAATTGGTCCAGGCGTGCCAAGATTACCCGGAACAGATGAGGTCTTGAAGACAGAAATTTTAAAAAGTTTTTTTTTCGTATTAGAAACGCAAATACATCACATGTACATGACTTAAGTGAATGAACAGTAATAGGCTTTTGTTTAAAAAACAAATATAAAAAAACTTCTAATATCTATAAAATTTATAGGGATATAAAAATAATAAAAACTTACCTTCCAATCAACAGGTGTAGCAACTTTAGCCTTATCCGTCAACTGAAGGGAGTCCAGCACGCGCAGAATTTCACTGTAAATAAGTTAAAACTTGAATCAATAAAATAGTTTCTCATTCTTAATATTAAAGGTTGTAGCACACCACCCACTACACAACTCCTTAATGCCTAATTGATGAATTGATGACAAGTGTGTTACAAGCTTAATACAATAAACAAAACACAATCTCATTATTTTTTTATATCATAAGGTGGCAAACGAGCGAGTGGTCACCTGAAATTGCTGAAATAGCGAAGTGACCGTTGCCCATGGACATACGCAATGGCATATGCGTTGCTTATCTTTAATCGATGGAGGAGAGGATGCACGGAAATAAAATATTTTCCCTTCCCATGCATCCTCTCATCTGGAAAGTCCACTTCCAATTCCATTTCATAATTATTCTCCAACATTCTATAATTTACAACAAATAATTGCTAATATTTTATTTGGAACAACAAAGTGTATCTACTTCATAAGAATAACTCCAATGGTGTGTGGCATTGTGTTACAAAGTTGGCATGATTCAATAATATTTAATGCAGATAATAACGAGCCTTGAAACAATATTTTTCTAGTATATAACTATGTCATTGCAAACAATGGACATAAATATGTTACCTTAAATTTTATTTTATCAAAGAATTTCTAAATATATTTTTGGTATTGTATTCCATTTCACATAATTCATGCTATTTATCCTTGACACTATGTTGTAGCACAAGGTTGAATCTTTGGCATTCCCCAGTCTTTATGGGAAACAATTTTATAGATGGAGTATTTGTTATCAAATACTCATTAAAACAATATATAAATAGAACATAAGACAATCCATAACACCATATAACCAATTTTAAAATGGAAAGAAAATACAGAGAAGTTAATCACATTTAACCAAATTTATAAAACCTAGTTAGTGTGATTGTTCATGCAACTATTCTTCAAAATGTACATCTACATATACAATTATTTAGGCTTTAGTAGTATTAAAGTATTTATCTAGCATAATTTTTTTTTGTGACTGCCTTGAAGAGGCATTTACAGCTCAGCGGGCTTGAGGTGGCCGAGCGCAGATGGCGCTTAGCCTAAACTTGGTTTAAGAGTAACAAGACTCGAGGGCTACCTCAGGAGCCTCGGCTCGGGCTGTTACTTCGTTATTGTTATCGGATTGGTAGGTCACCGAGCTCTTAGAGCGCTTAGGTGGACGCTCCATGGAGTGACTGGTCTCAAGGGCTCCCGAGAGGGGACCTCGGCTTGGGCTGTCACTCATTACGCGTTTAGCATTCCAATTCAAGGGTGCCCAAGAGGGCCGAACCTTGGCTTGATCGGTTGCTATTATTGGATTGCTTCTAGTATGAAACTTTACCTAGAGCTCCAAACTAAGTCCCTTTGATGAAAGAGAAAGCTGTTAAATGTATAGCAATAATGTTACTATTTATTATTTAATGTTACTAATAGCAATATTGTCAGGAAAAATTTAAATTTTTATTTTTCCTGACAATATTAATTTATTTTTATAAGCAGTGTAGTGGTTTCAGATACATTATTACATCATACATATCCCCACTGAGTTAGAAATTAACTTTATGTTATAATTACTCAAAGTTTCTGCCAGTGGTTGCTGGGTAAAGAATGGAGAGCCGGAACTTCTTTTTCGGATCAATGATATACACAGCGCGAGCAGTTAATGGTATTCCCGAAGAATCAAGTTCATCCTTATCCACCATTCCCAGTTTAACTGCTAAGTTCCTGGCCTTATCTTCAATTATTGGATATGGAAATGGTTCATTCTCATTGCAACCTGTTGAACAAATTTAAAAATGAATATCAACTACTGTTAATCATTATTAGCTCACTATATGTCCCCACTAAGTGGATCAGAGCCAACCCAAAGACAGAGGTAACTAGGTTATAGTCAACTATGCTAGGCAAGTGCAGGTTGGTTGACTTCACACACATCTTTGAAAGCGCTGATGCAACCTGCGCAGATATGCACAATGTTTTCCTTTACCATAAGAATGTCTGATGGAAATTGTAGAAATTTTTAATATTCTATCATAACCACACTGATAATTATACTTGTAAAATTTACCTGCATAACACTGGATGTCTTTACACCAGTCATTATGAGACTCAACTGTATCACAGGACAAACCAATGACTTTTACATTGCGTTTCTTAAATTCTGGAACTAAAGTAAGGACCCTTGCGAGCTCTGTAGTACACACTGGTGTGAAATCGGAAGGATGAGAAAAAAGTATACCCCATCTGAAAATAACACATGCCATCAGTAGTTGTTAAATTATAATATGACTTACCGCTAGCTGATACAAAAATAAAAGAAAAATGACTATAACTTACGATTCGTCAAGCCATTCATAAAAGTTTATTTCACCTTGAGTTGTGTCAGCAGTGAAATTCGGGAAAACATCACCCAAGTGCAGCATTTTGAGGTTCTTTAAACTTTAACTTTTAGTAGTTCTGGACGAAATAATCACAGTTGAAATATATAGCAGTTAGCGTTATTCCTAACAAATTACTTTTTAATGAAGACTCACTAAATTAGGAAATAGGTTCTCAATAACTTTCCTCAACTTTGTTTTGAAAAAAATTTGAATTTGGATTTGTGAAGTGTCACAGAAGTGTCAACAACGTAAACTTTTTGATATTTTTTGGATACCGGTCTTGACCAGTGTTGACAGTAACTTTTCCATGTCGATTTAATCGATTTCATGTGGTCATTACATTGCTATCTTTGAATAATTGTAGCCAACCAACTTTAGTCGCCCCCGCTAGCACTTTGAGATCTACAATTCTCTTATACATCGTTTCTAAGGAATAACTAACTCAAACGATTTTTCTTACTTAGCCAAAAAAGGCAAATTTTAAGGGTTCAGAAATACGCCATTAATTCTTGCCAACTGAACTTTACTTACGATAAATTTATCTCATGTTACTCGATAATGCAGTTTTCTATTGTTTCCTAATGTTTAAAGTTTTCGAAATAGGTTTTTGAATTGTTTTGTTTCCTTACGAAAGTTCTAAAAACATAAATCTATCTTTATATTATATTTTCGGCTAAAATATTACGGCTTTATGCTTTTGGTACACTATAAATTTCGATGTATCGAAATCGGTTGATTCTAAACAATGGATATCACTTAAAACCAAAGAGTAATAAAAAAAGACTTACGATATTATATTATCTATGTACTGTGTTATTATTAGAAATTAATGGAAATATTTTGTATAGTCTTTGTTAGAAATTAGGTTTTATAATCATTAATATTAAATTAAATTACATTACAATTCATTAATTATTATCGACCGATAAACTCTTATCATATATTGCAGAAAGTTTTATTGTGTTTAATTGAAAGTTAACACCTACATCGTTATCTCGATGCGTACTTACTTATGAATTATTAAATGATTAATTACAATGGCTACAAATTTTGATTCCCAGGATCACTATAAGTTATACAAGTTTACTAAAATACTTGCACTAAAGGTTGTTCAGATAGTTGTACAAAGCAGACAGGGCAAAAAAATCACTCATGATTATTCGACTCCAAAAGGTTTCGAAGATGGTCCACCTTCATCGCCTAGTAATTTACAATGGGTACGATTATTTCTAATTTCATTGTACCTGTGTTCTATAATCTAAAATATGTATTTCTTCGATCAATTAAATTTTAATTTTGTTCAATATGTCTTAAATTCATTGCTTATTTTATTTCTAGTTTAATTTATCAATACCAGATGAACCGGGAATTAATACGGATACAAAACGTGTTTTAAACGGAGAAGTGATTGAGGCGCTTGCTAAAGTTCTATGCATTGAAATTATACTTAGGACCAACGATGGTGATGAAATGGTGCTTGAAGTATGGACTGTTAAATTACTACCAGGATGTGACATTGGCTTAACATCTGTATCTACAATATACTACAGAATGAGTATAATGCTTAAATCAACTTTAAGTATTTCAAGAATAACACCTGCATATAAATTATCACGATCTCAATTAAAAGAATCATATAAAATTTCACATAGAATTTATGGTGGTCAACCTAATTTGGATGTGTTAGGTGAGTTTATATCTTAATATTTTGTTTAAAAAAAACTATCTTACTGCTTTCTGATTGTAATAACTAGCAATGCACTTGTAAAAATGTATTATTGCATTTTGAAAGCATAAGGGACAATTTATTTTATCTACGTGTAACTTATCTCACAGAGAAAGTTAATTTTTTACATTATAAAATATATTGTTAAAATAATATTTATAAATTAATTATATTTTTCTTGCTATTAAATCATATATTTATTTTTTTATCTTGCTTATGAAGGTTGTCTGTTAGGGTTGGACAGTGATACTCGCTAATAGAGGTTTCAGGATTCTTGCTTATACTTGACTGTATATTTTGAAGAATCAAATTGCAAAATTTATAAGTGAGATAAGCAACACACTTTGTTTTTTAATAATTCTGTCATAAATTTTAAGGTGAAAAACATAAGACTATTAAAGTTAGTGAATTGCACACCCCGATTGGAACAATACTTATTGAAGTTGTATATAGAACAAAAATGACTATGTTACCGGAGGATAGAGGCAGATATATTGAACACACCACGGTGAATTCATGTGGAGATATAATGATGAAAAGTGATCATTTTCCAACGGAAAACCAAAGGTAACGCATCTTTCTACTACTATTGGTACTACATTTTTTTTTATATCATAAGGTGGCAAACGAGCGAGCAGCCACCTGAAATCGCTGATATAGCGAAGTGACCGTTGCCCATAGACATACGCAATTGCATATGCGTTGCCGGACGCACACACATCAGACGAAATGCGGAATAGCTTCCACTTTACGCCTGTCTTCTGTGTGATCGAGCTGGGCCGATTCGTGCGAAAATGTTAAAGCGGGCTCTACCATTGTTTCATGATAGATATGTTTTAAAATTTCATATGCTTATTTAAGATTCTTATAGTAAAGGAAACATAACCGAATCTACTAGGGTAGGTTCAAGATTTACGGTAGGGGTACATAAACTGTCTCAGATTTATTATTTCTTAACATCTTTTGTAATTCCAGGAGAAATCACATGGAAAAGAAGGAACTTGATCTGTCAAAACCATTGACTGCTGGTGCTTTTGTTGATGTACAAAAAATTAAAGAGTTACATGATTCATTATACCAGCAGTTACCTCCTGAACCACCTATGAGTTGGCTTCTTGCAGAAAAGGACAAAATGGAAGAGGTAAACAAAAAAACTTACAAATATAATAAAATAAAGAAAAAGCTATTTAGTTTTCTTTCTTTATTTTTTCTAATTTCATCATCAATTATTCTTTTTCTGTCAGAATTACCTTTGAAATCTCAACATTTTTGAGATAAGAAAAATTGAATTGAAAACCATCTAAGTGTAAGACTCTTTTATTAAACAATACAATTATCCTTTAATTTAAAACTAATTTGGGATTACAGAAAATGAAACTGTTGACTATACCTGAGACGCCAGAAGAAAACAAAACTGTAGATAATACTGAAATAGAAGAGGTGCAGGCACATTCAAGTAAAGCTATTCAAGTACCAAAGACCAGGGAGAGCAGTAAATATACTAGTTTGATGGTAAGTAGTTTAATTTTACCTTATAAAAGTTAAATGTTAACAAGATGATGTCACCTTAACCCATTTTAAATGACTAAATGGTTTTGAATAGCGACATCTTTTTCTTAAAGTAATTCGAAGCATTGATTACAATTGTTATACAAATTTTCAATGAAATAGTGTGCAATTTATATGTTAAATCATAAAAAAGCAAACGGCAAGTACATATCTGAGATGATTTAAGAGTCTTATTCTTGAATATATTCTTACATTTCTTACTTCCCCTGTTCATTGTTTCCCCAACCAAGACCCACTTGGGGTCGATACGCCAGCAGAGTAAGAGTTTCTCAAACTAAATTCACACCGAGGGGAATATCTTAAAGACTTATACAGATTTATATTTTATTTTACATACATGCTAAAGCTTTACAATTTCCTTTAATATATAATGTCATCATTCCAGGACTTTCCATTTGCTGAAGGCAGTCCAATAGCGGACCTGGCTAATTTCTATCAAGAATGTCTCCAAGCAAGGTCAGCGACTGAAGACTGGTCGGAGATATTAGCTGATACCTCTGCTTCTTCAGATTCGGAATCTCTTGCCAAGCAATTGAAGATGTTTGAAGATGCAGTGCCGGAGTTTGATAGTATGGTAGCATCAATGTTTAGCAACTCTGAACAAGGGTCTGATCATTCTTAAATAAAGTAAGTAATCTACCCATAGGGTATGTATATTAAAGGCCTATAAATGGCCATAAAAATTATCAACACTCATGGAGATATTTAAGAGGGATTAAACTTGTGTGATAGAAGTATTTTTTGTGGAATAACTTGATTCCCATTGTTAGAAAATAGTGACACATGACAATTTATACTTAGAAGTTATTTTTCTTAAATACTAAATAGTTTAATGCAGTCATAATGTTAGAATTTTTTCGTCTGATGTGCACCAAATGTACATTTAATTTTTTACAATACTGCATTTTGTTGTATCTATAGCGAAGTCCAATTTTACATCTCTCTATGTATGTTTGACTTTGAATTTAATTACCATTCTAAAGTGTTGAATATTTCTTCAAATATTTTCAAGTCTTGACTTATACCAAGTAAAGAAATATACCGACTTTAATAATTTTTGCATCCCATTACTAATATTACAGAAGTTATTCAGCTTGAGCTATGAAAGTAGCTAGAAGTCAAGGAACTACTAAAGCGGAACATATGTTCTGGGTCCCTTTATATGTAACTGAATATACATAAACATTATGTACATTGTTAGTTTGATATCGAGATTTAATAAAATTGATGAATTTTAATTTAGAATAGATGAAATTATGTAATAGAGCCGCGGCAGTTTTATTTATTTTTGGTACTATTTGAATAACCTTTAAACATTTTCATGAGTGTTTGTGCAATTTATTTATTCAATTTTAATATATGTATAACAATCACATACAGTCATAGAATAGGGATGTAGTAACTTAAATATTGATGTGGGTGTAATCATAATAATTTTCGTCCTTTACTACCAATATACTCAATTCAATAATCATTATTTACTTAACTTATTATGTAAAACTCTGATTATGTTGTGTACATAAATGCTATTAACATTCTATCATACCAATCTCATTATTTATTACATCAAATCATTTCTTAGCATCATTATAGGAGGTTTGCTAAGTAAATAAACTTAGGAAAGATATTTAAGTTATAGTTTTGTCAGAGATATAAAAAAACCCAAAGATATGCTGGACATATGCCCATGACAAGAATCTTTTGAATTCGTTGCCAGTCAGCAAATTATGATGTTTTTTATATATTTCTACTTTAATTAAATCAGCATCCCTAATACACTTTCATGTACAAAACTATGATTATTGTTTATTAATATATAATTAATTTACAAACTATATATTTTATTAACAGTATTCTACTTAAATAAGTAAATGTACACATGCAATATGTTTATAGATAAGGATATCTCAGCCGGTGAGTGGCGCTGCTATCGCGGTTAGTTCTGTTAGAAAATGTGTAAAACCTTTGGTAATTTGCATCTCTGGTGCTCTATGACATGTTTTGACATTTTTTGACGTTGACAGGAGGGCGAGTAGTGAGATATCATAATTTAGTTTGACTTATGCCCACCGATAGATATCCTTGTCCACCTATAACTGGTTTTTAGCAGTGACCACAGATCTCTATAAATGGATAGATTATGATTTGGAAATGACAGCTTTTCGAATTTCCACTTTAAACGGTAATATCATCTATCTCTAATAGTGACAAAATGGCAAAGATTAAATAGGCACAAAATATCTCGGTTTGTAGCCTCTCCATGTATAGATGTCAGTGATAGTGACAGTTGTATTAACACCTAAAGTTGTTTCTGTTTTTTCAAAGACTGTGAGGGATGACAAGATGTCAATACAAGTGTCAAGTGAAATTATTAAATAACTTGTTAAGAAACAATACCCTGCCATATTTTGAGACTATGAGAAAACCCCATCAAGTTAATTGTAATTTAATTATATTCGCTGTATAAAACAGCATTATAAAAATGATCGGGCTAAGTTTTAAAATAATTATATGTAGTCTAATTTTTGTTGCAAAACGTACAAATTCTTTATGATTTACACATTCAGAATCGTAAAGTGTTGAAATTAAGCATCTTTGGATCCCATAAAATACAAAACATCATGGTAATTAAGTCATAGTTGTTTAAATACATTGACTATAAGACAGATAAAGTAATCTGAGACTGTTTTATAAAGTTATGTTTTACAGTGTTAATATTCTTCAAATATAGATTAAGTTTGGTAGATTAATTGTTGATCTTGTAAAATCTTATATCGAAAAATGTAGTTCATTAGATCTTTAGAAAAACCAAACAGATGTTAAATTGAATTAATGACATAAGAAGCGAAATATAATATGTTAATATTGCGTCAATCGACAATATTTTATGGAAAATTATACTAAACTGCCTTCATCTAACAATATTATTTACTTTTTTAATATGCTTTATAATTTACCTATATCCTTGTGCCTTAAACATTAAATGGCACATATTTAACTTACAAAGAAGTGCCAATTAGCATTAGTTGAAAGGTTAAGTTTACTCATAGATTTATTATATTACAATAGATTGGATTATGAAAAAAAAAACCAGTACAATTACAATCTCTTATACATCACCGTCATTTGTTAAGTACTAGATCCATATTGACTCATCATTTTTATTAGTTTTCTTTCCTTTGTCAACATACTACAAATGAGGTTTTATAAAAAACAATTTCTTTTAATATCCATAATATCTTTTAATAAGCTAATCTCTTGTGTAATAAATCTGTGATCTGATTATAAAGTTAATCATATTATAGTAATTCTTCTTAAATCATATAGCTTTTATGTAGTTAACATATACATTAACGTTCACTAGAAAACATATACTTAATATAAATTAATATTGAAAATGTTATCTGTTATAAGAGAAATAACAAAATGTATTGATATAATATTTATATTAAAAATACCAGTTAAATGTTTGACAATCTTAATTATGTTCCTAGTCAAGTTTCAATATTTTATAATAACGTATATTGTATTTAACGTTATAACCTGTGGTTTCGACTGTCCTAACAATACGTACCTAATACAAACACATTTATTGATAATATATGAATTACAGGTTAATTGCTCATATGTTCTGCTAATATTGCCGTCTCTGTTCTTTCAAAGAGAAAGTGAGAGACGACAGGATGTCAATAAACGTGTTGTCTCAGTCGAATCGCGCAGTAATATTTGAATTTCTATGACTTGTTGTCTAACAGACCTTTTATGATCGCAATTGTTATACATACAGATAAAGAGACGCATGTTAAATATTTTATTCTGTTATGTTACCACAGAAATGTAGACAATTAGGTTGACAATGCGTCCACCCCAGTTGACAATGCGTCCACTGGGGTGGACGCTTTGTCAACCGCGAGCTACCAATCTGTGTCAGTGAGAATAAAGTATCGTGTTGCTACAAATTTAAATCTTTATCCCTCTCAATCGGCCACCTTGAGGCGGCGGCGAATGATGGCCTCTGCGGGTCGTTGATAGGTGGTCGAGAAGTGGACGAATGCACGTTAAAATTAACTCCTACAAAGACATTTGGTATTTTCAGAATGTTCAATTCTCTTACCGTTTTACGTTTACGTAGAGGTATATTTATAATTTTACGATATCTTTTTTTAAACTTCTTTGTTAACGAACTGGTGTAATCAAGTCTTTATTTAAGGGCGATAAGTAGGGCCATATTGATATATACCTTTTTTGATTATAAACAATTACAAGATACAAATGGGTTTTATTTTGAAACATATTACTTGTCATAATGCATATTTGATTCCCTCTACCTGATTTATAATATATGCACATATATTTGTACTATTCTCTACCTTTTATTATATTTCAAGTTTCTGCTTCATCTCGTATAAATAAACAAGGTGTCCACAGAACTATAACTTTAATAGATATCAGATTAATTAAAATCGCTTATGTACACAATGAACTTCGCTACATACATGGCAAATACATAGATCTTTGGGTTCGATTTTCTTCGGTTTTATGCTTGTAACTTTCACGTGTTGCCCAATTATATTCTGAAATTAAAAAAATCCTATAATATTAGAGAAGCTTTTTCAAAAAAATATGCATACTGCAAAATAAATAAATTTCTATGTATACTACCACAGACAAAGGAGACAAAAAGTGGACGCTAAAATCGAATTTATTTCAGATAGTACTTAGTAGTACATACTGTGGCGACCCTCTGTTGGGATAAGGGCGAGTTCCTACCATTCAGATGAAATGAAAATTATTACGTTAAGGTATTCTAAAATCTACATTTTCTACCAATGTTAAAATATCACGATCAGGGTATTAGAAGTCTTAAAATACCTGGGCATCTAATGGAGCGATGTATGTTTTCTTTATTTCTGTGTTCAGACTGTTCGCTAGATCATGTCTAAGCTTCTGCGCCATGACAGCATCGTGCAGTAGATCGTGAGATATCTGCAGGCGATCGGATGCGCGCGCCATACAACGGACCTCACGTAATGCGTCCAGTGCAATGTTCAACCGAGCCCGGCTTAGAAACTCGTAGAATGAACATTCAGCTGAGCAGTCCTAAAGAAAACACAACTTTTTTTTATATAAAATAAGTGGGCATCAATAAATCGGTGTTTTCAACGACGCCTTTAGACATCTGCAATACCAGAGGAACGGCAGATGTGTTGATTGTCTTTGAGAAGATGATACGCTCCCTTCTTAAAGGACCCTAAGTCGTAGGCGGTTTGGTAATACCGCCAAGGACAGACCATTCCACAACGCGCCTGTGCTAGACGGAAAGTTTCGCCAAAACCGCACGGTTATGATTGCCATGTAATATTTTTTTATATTATATTTTAGTTAACCTACCTCTTTTTTACTTTTTATGAATATTTTTTCTTGCATTTGTTTTATCTCTTTTGCCCAACCACTGTAATTAAAAAAAAACTATCATTGCAAATTAAACTTTATAAAAACGTTATAATAAGCACAATTAACTTACTGCGCTATCTCTACTAATTCTTGGAGAGTTTCGGCGCCTTTCGGTAACAATGGTGGGCTTAAAATTTCTGTTTCAATCCATGTTTCATTAAGTTTCAATGTAAGATAATGTGAACATAGTATTAGTGTTGCCTGGAATTGTTACAACACGTATATTAGAGTAACTAATGATGTATCCAATGAAAGCGATTAAGTATTAATAGATAAAATGGCCATTATTGTTAAGCATTAACAAAAAGAATTACACTATATGTTATTATAGTACAAAAAACGTGAAATCTTGCTAATATTTTAGATGGATGAATGTTTGTTTGAAGATATCTCCAGAACTGCCGAACCGATCTTGATGAAATTTGTCATACATGTATAGCATAGTCTGGAAGAACACATACGCGTCGCGGGCGACCGCTAGTATATAAATAAAATTGAAGTAGTGCATTGTTGACTGGTAGTTTATAAGTGTAAAACACCTCGTCTTGCGGCGGCAACTTGATATTCTTGTACAGATTGTAAGTCTCATCGGCGAGCGATACTTTAAAATCCAAATCTTTCGAAAGCATATGAAGAATAGCAAACACCTGTAATTACAATTTAAATAGTAAGCAGAATAACATACGAATTTAATAACGACAAAATGATTTAATTTACCTTTGACAATCGCGATCCAGCTAAATCTGCTGCAGATAGGCACAAGACATTCCCAAGAATGTATTGTTCAGGACGTAAACAATATATTTGTTCCCTAATCTCCGAACGCATCAATGGGCAATCTAAATCTGTTTATACAAGAAGTAAAAGACAACAGAACACTATATTAGTGACACATTGTGAATAAATCATAATCAGTCTATTAGTAACCGCGGCCTAATTCGAAATACGAAGTCGTGAGCCAATTTATTATAACATAATAACTTTCAACACAACCGTAGTTTTCTGAGACTAAAATCGCTGTTAAAAAATTATTATCTTTGTTTTCTCAAAGATAATGAAAGGGATGACCATATATTTTATACAGAAAGTTTGCTATCAGAAGCCAACGGTAAGCGAAATAAAATCATAAGATTTGGACATAAAACTTAAAAATAAATTGTAATTAAATGAACGCTTACTTTGAATCACACCTGTATCGCTTAATGAAATATTATTCACTTGACATTCATCGCGAAAAATAGCTGCTAGTAAATTCGCGATTGAAGCGCCTCTTCTTACTAAGTTTGGTATCTATAAATCATTAGTCACTCTTTTTACTCCTTACATTTATATTGTTTTTTAAATGAATGCTATAAACTTACAATATAAGAGGCAGCAGAACTTGCACGCCAGGTGACAATCTGTCCGACTGCCTCACCGGCGCGCGCGACGTCGCACAGAAGTGCAAGGGCAAGACATTGAACAGGACGCGAAGTTAACTGTGCGCATCAAAACAAAACATTCCGTTTTAAGGTTTAGAATCGTTTGACATTTTGTTATGTAACTCATAACAACGTAAATATAATACTAAAATGCATCAATTTAAGATTTAACTACTAATATAAACCTAGTATTGAATGTTCAGTCAGATTTCAAGATATTCTAGTTACATTAAATAGAAAAGATATTGCGGAAATTACAAGTTCCTCCATCAACTCTTTTGATTGATTGCTAAATTGTTTCTAACAACATAAGCGATTCAAGAACACTAGTTACGTCATATTGCCTTCAAGAAGAAAGTAATAACCGTGACTACCTATCCGACAATCCGAGTCATGCGTTCTGTGATGTTAAAGTCCCTGTAATTTTTTTTGAACGACCGGGTTACAATTACGCTTCTATGACAACTTATAGTATGATTAAATGCCCTTAATATTTCGAATATCAGCTTAAATATAACCGTCAGTAGAAATGAACTCGATTGACCGGTTGAGTTCAAAACACAGTTTCACTTTTTTGTCTCTATTAATTTTGCATATAAAATTACTTTCCTGACGTCGATATATTGAAATGAATACAAAACCATTATATTTTAGTTATATGTCGACGTAATCATTTATAAACGTACCGCAATACTTCCTAGTTTGTCACGGAATATCTAA